ACGATTAACTTTGATTAACTTTAACCCAGATCGCCAATTAGTACCAATTGACCGTTGTGATTTTCGTCCGAAATTCACACCCGCTTAATTTCGCCTCTTTATAACCCTAAAATTAAGCCCCCAAGGACGAATCCATTTACTTTTATAATCCAAATCTAGAAAAATAAGGGTTATATTATTAGAATTTCGAATCAATTTATATAAGGATGGAAAGAAAAATTTTTTGTTTAAATTTTTGAACATCACCCCCGAATATACTATATAAATTCAATTATACGAAAGACGACAAAACCTGTAGGGGGTTTCTACAGAGCGCGCCTATAAATACTTTGGTGACAATATTAAAATGAAACCGTATATTAATAGGAATGTAATGCCCGGGGTGTTGGACGCCCGCTGTTCACAATGATAAATCAATTCCTCGCTGTATACACACATGCATCTTATAAAGGACCAACTTACGGTTGTGTTTGTGTGTGTGTCCCCGACGTCCCGTCGCGTCCTTTGTATTATTTATGACAAATTTATAACAGTTTCTGACTCTTCATAACTCCCACACAAAACCGTTCGAATCTAAAAACCAGATAATAACTAGCGTTTAATCAAAACATTAAGTTATTTGCTAAACTACAAGGTTCACCCAATAAATCATAATGACAATTGTAATATATTTTAATGAAAAGATTAATTTAATTAAAACCAATTAAATTGGTTAATTAATAATAATAAATTCATCATAAACGTTATTTCTTTAATAATTATTGGTGATGTATGATAAACATCATAATGTTGTGTATATAGGTAAATAAAAATTTGCCTGAAGATGCAGGGCTAAATCCGAAACTTTCTAGAAACTTACTTTAATTAGTGTTAGCTCTAATTTTGGTTGTTACTCAGTGTTAGATTGTAGTATGTTTTTGTTGAACAAGAACTGGAACTAACGCAAGATCTAGAACTTGTATATTTTTCATTGAACTGAAACTAAAACTAACACTAGTTCTAGGTCTAGTGTTAGTTCTAGTATTAATTGTTATTCAGAACTAAACTGCTAGATGTCTCGCTACTACAATTAAACCAAAAGAAGCCCTATTACAATATTAGTACTTACACATTGTCTCAATTTTCTGCACATTGTGGTTTAAAGTTGTAGAGCATAACTGTATGAATACTTTTATATAAGTTCTTTTCATAAGATAACTTTTCATTAAACTGTTTTTATGTAACAGTACTTTACTTGACTTTGTTTTGAAGATTTTACCTACAATATAGTATAAACTCGTATTTTGCATAGTGTATTAAGACTTTTGCGAGACACTGTAGTAGATCATACTGAATTATAGTGTTCAGTATCTTTTTCTTTGAATAAAACTGTCTATACTCAATATTGTCGTGTTTTATATGACACTGAGACTTGAAAACTCTAGACTCAACCCCATCTCTAGCTACAAAAGCAACCCCAAAATCTAATCCCAACCCCAATATTTTTTAATCTTATTAGAACGTGTTTCCTAAACATTGTGCAGAAATTCATGGAATATTTTATTGTGGTATTTTAACTTCTTTTTTATCGTTAGATGATTTTTGGAAAGATATAAGGCATTAATATTTTAAATGTTGCAAAATTTGAATAAAAGGTGTTAGAATTATATTGTTATGTCATTGTTTCAACATTTTCTGTAACAACCATGTGTGGGCTGAGGAACTGCCTAGTATCATATGATACCAAAAACCAGATAATAACTAGCATTTAATCAAAACATTAAGTTATTTGCTAAACTACAAGGTTCACCAAATAAATCATAATGACAATTGTAATATATATAATGTAAAACTAGAATTAACACTAGACCTAGAACTAGGATCATTCGGGTTTAGCCGTCTTTAGAGACGTGCGGCTAAACCCAAATGATTCTAGTTCTAGGTATAGTGTTAATTTTATATAGTAACAGTGCTAGTGTAAAACTAGAACTAACACTAGACCTAGAACTAGAATCATTCGGGTTTAGCCGTCTTTAGAGACGTGCGTCTAAACCCAAATGATTCTAGTTCTAAGTATAGTGTTAATTTTACATAGTAACAGTGCTAGTGTAAAACTAGAACTAACACTAGACCTAGAACTAGACCTAGAACTAGAAACATTCTGACGACGCACTGCTAAACCCGAAACTTTCTAGTTCTAGGTCTAGTGTTAGTTCTAGTTTTATTTGTTATTTCGAGCTATATTGCTGTATATTTTTATTGACCTACGCACTTAATTCGCAATTAATTTAATGTCTGATTGACAAAAATAGTCATCTGTAAGACTGCAAACCATTCTGCCTGAAGTGTATCAACTGTCAATGATATTTCAAAGTTGATTAGCTCCTCTGTTTTTATCTAGAAGTACAAAATAGTTGTTTGCAACAAAATTTGTACTTTGGCGCTGCGAAGGTTCATCATTGACAAGTTGACGATAAATAACGATTTGTTTTTTCATCTGCCCTTAATTATGCAAACAGAATAGCCGCAAAATTTATCGCAAGAAGTTAATCTCTTTTAGCCTTTGTTCAATTCTGAGTCTGCCAATATCCTGCGAAAGTTAACATCTCAACACAGAGCACTATCTTGAATGAATAAGGAAAAACTTTTAAGGAAAAATGTTTGCATCCTCTTTTCTAATACGGTTTATTATTTTTACTAGATAACCCTTCTCGATAATTTTATGTCATAAAGAACCTAAAGAATCAGACTCCAAATATTCCTTTGAAGATTTTTGCTAGTAGAGGTCTTAATGTATACGGATTTATTTGTTATTACAAAGGAATTTATCAAAAGCTTCAATTGGCTTTATCTGGGTTGATACGGCCTACAAAAATATTAAAAATAAATGGCCAACATTGAGGATTACAACTGCGTGACTCTTTTTGTGGACAATCTTTAGCCAAGTCAAACCTAGTACATCTAACACAATAAATGATTTAATGTTTTCTTGTCGGAATTTAAACATTATCCTTATCTTTCCTCGATTGTAACTTTCAAAAGTATACTGTTCAAACTTATAAAGGAGAGAATTTTAGCTTCAAGTTACTATTGGTGAAAAGAAGGACACAGAGGCTTGAAGTGTAAAACTAAGAAGATTGATGATAAAAGTTAATCATACTTCATCGAATACATTCTTGTGAAGGATCCAATACCAATAACTCGATCATATTAAAACATGTATGGACCTCACTATGTATCTTAATGAATAGGTCAGAAAATATGAAGGGAAATATGTCAAAATCTTTGACAGTACCTGTATTTTATGAGCAGCTCTAAAAGGAAGTTTGTTGTCAACTGCACATGCTCAAAAACATGGTTGTGTGTTGGCGAAGTTTAATAAATTGGGTTTTGACTGTAAAATTAATCAGGAATGTTCTGCCAAACTTGAAGGTTTTAATTATGAAAAAAGGAAAACGATGATCAAAACAGTTTTTTTTTGCATTTCAACTAAAAACCATGCAACTGAGAAATCTGAGACACATTTATCTTATTGTATGAATTAAAATTTTTGCTGAGCAAAACTAATAAATAGTAGTAATAATATGTCATAGCAGATTTGTGGTAAGCATTAGTCCTCTAAAGATCAAAACAAGAATTTTAGTAAGTTTTTTCATTATTTCTATTTTAATATTTGATCTAAAACTAGAACTAACACTAGACCTGGAACTAGAAACATTCGGAATTAGCCGTCTTAATAAACCCGAATATTTCTAGTTCTAGGTCTAGTGTTAATTCTAATTCTAGTATTAGTTCTAGTTTTTGTCGTTATTTAGTGCTGGATTGTAGTATTTTTCATTAAACTAAAACTAGAACCAACACTAGAACTAGAAATATTCGGGTTTAGCCACACGTCTCTCAAGACGGCTAACCCCGAATTATTCTAGTTCTAGGTCTTGTGTTAGTTGTTGTTAGTTGTAGTGATAGTGCTAGTGCAAAACTTGAACTAACACTAGACCTGGAACTAGAAACATTCGGGTTTAGCCGTCTTAAGAGACTTGTGGCTAATCCCGAATATTTCTAGGTCTAGAATAACAACTAAAACAAGAGTTAACACTAGAATTAGAACTAACGCTAGAACTAGAAAATTTCGGGTTTAGCTGCCTTAACGAACTATTTTCTTAGTTGGTACTTCCGATAATTATTATATAGTGACGGAAAATCATTAATTATTTTTCTTTTTAATTAAAATTAATAATTATAAATCAGAATGGCAAAAAAAAAATACAGTAGTCGTGTAAATGTAAGAATAAGAAAGTCTGTTAGCGTGTATACGTGGGTAATTATTGAACATTAACAGTTTCTCAGACTATATTTTTTCTTTTCTTCGAGTGTCTTTAAGTTTAAACGTTGCGCGTTTTCTTCTTTGCCGTGTGAGAACGGTTTCGAACGGAACGAGGAGAGATGATTGTTAGCAGTAGCGAGGAGAAGTAGCCGTTTTAAATTGCGATTGGAAGTGGAAAATTAAATTAAAAATTTATATCTGTTAGTTTTATTCGCAAAAATCTCTAGTTACTTGAAATCATATAAAGTTTTATTTAGGGATTCTGTTAACGTTATGTTTAATACACTCAATGCATCAGTTATGAAAATAAAACGATCTCAAAACCATTCATTAACGCAGTAATTAACCTTTATTTATCAATAATTGCATTCTGTAACCAACCGCCGACGATTTCTCTCGGCTGATTACTTGCGGTGTTTAGCTGGAAAAGACGGCGGTCAACTGGTAATCTGTCGGCAATCGACTTTATATAGTATAGTAGGTAGTTGATGTTGTGGAGGAGAACTTAAACTTCATACAAGTCTAACTTGTTCGGGATAATACCGAGAAATTGATGGGAAAACCAAAAATAAACTTTTATTGATTTTAATTAAAAACATCTTATTTAAGATATTTTCAATTTATTATTATTTATTATCATAAAAAAAACAAATTCAAGTTCACCTCTTTATTTTTTTCTTTTCTACTTAAATTTCAGTTCCACCCGAGATGGCCCCAACACATCTTGGACACTTACCGAAAGAAGACACTTGCAAACGGGGTTTCAATCCACGATACAACAGTAAGATATTGTTAAAAAGATTGCATGCCCTAAAATAAAATTAACATTTTTTCTCTTGTACAAAATTAATTACCCATCTTGTCTATACGTATAAATAATTTCTTAACCGTTTTCAAAGTTATTCGTTTTCGTGCTCGGCTCGGTTCGTAAAGCTCGTCTTCGACTACGGAGGTCTCGATAATCTTAAGAGTATCGACCGTCAGGTCTCGAAATGAGATCGATTAGTCTCTTCATCTTTTTTCTTTTCAAAATAGATCTCTCAGTCCGTAAAGAAAGAAAGAGGAGGAACTCCTCTAAAATAACGATAAAGATCTCGTTTTTTTTTTGTTACTGTTTGTTAATTTTATTGTTTTGTGGTTTTATCTTCGTCAAAAAATTCGAAATAAAAAGAATTTTTTCGTAGAGAGTTAATAAGAGAGTTTAAAGAAAAAAAGGTAGATAGCACAATAGACAAAAGTTAATTATCACATCTAATTGGTACCCATATAACGGATTTTTTATATCTCAAAACACGTTTAGATACAAAATGTTTATTGTTGGAAGCTTTCTAAACGGCACAAGTGTTTCATCACGTACAATCGTGTTATCCAATTAGGAGCAATTAACTCCCGGAGAGAATTACCTTTTTGTATTAACTTAAAATAAAAATTGGCCTAAATTACTACTCTTTAAAATTTTTTTAATTAAAATAAATAATTTAAATTTTAAAATTTTCCCGCCACTACTAAAACAGTAATTTTAGGTAATACCAACATTTAAATCACAACAATTAATTATTTAATATAATTTTTTTTTAATTATTTTTTTCCATTTTTATTAATTAACCAATTCAATTAATTTTAATTAGATTAAGTAACGTTGTTATTAATAATTTCGATTTTATTTCCAACTTTGAAACACACTTAATACATTTCAATAATTGAGGTTATGTCATTGATGAACTGTCATCGTTTCGGTTACGATTATTTCTCAAAAATATGTAAGTTTTTCTTCTAATAACTTCAAAAATAATTCTTTTTATAAACTAAAAGATTAAAATTGAATTAATTACCTCGATTAAAAAAAAAGTTATTTTTAATTAATACTTTTAGATCTACGTTCTGCTAATTAGTTTCAAATGAAATGTCACTTTGACGTTTAAACGTCAAAAATAACTTAAATTATCCTTTAAAAATCGTAATCTTTCTGATTATTTTTATAATATATTTTTAAATGAACAAATTAGAAATTTAATGATTACAGTATCCTTGTACATAAATGAATTTTTAAAAACCTGTTTACATTAAGTCTTAATTATAATTTATACTTCTGAATACACAGTCGAACTGAGTTTGTATTAGTAGTAGTACTAGAAAAACACGTTTGTAATTATTATAGAAACGATAATTGTAATAATAACAACGTTTTTAAAGAACGAAAACGGAACGAAACCCAGCGGGTAGAGGGAGAAAGGGGGAAGTGAATACTAAGTCTTTTCGGTCGAATTTTAATTAGGAGATTTCTCGGAATAAAACGATTAAGGCCCGAAACGAAAATGGCTTTTATGACGCTTAATTAGGTTGTTTTTCGTTCTCTTTGTATTTTTTTTTTCTTTTCCACATCTATATCGCTGTTAATTACAAGATTAGAATAATGGTAATATTAAAATAAAGTATAATATTTATGCAACAATTTAAAATCCTCCCACTAAGATAAACGATTTTCACTTTGAATTAATTAAATTATTAATTACTTTTAGTTAATAAATTTCAAAATTATTGATTTGAGGATCTTTTTTGGTTTTCTTTTACAGGTCCCACTAATAGCAAGTGCCCATGTAGAGACTGTTATGGATAGTGGCCGTTTGGGATCCGAAAATTCAGATGTAAATATTCAAAATTATTTTATTTTCATTTTAATCCATTAATTAATCAAGTAAAGTCAATGAATTCATCTGAAAATCATAAAAATTTTCACCCAAAAAAGAGCCTTTAGATCTATTTCGTTTTTTTTCTTGTTGAAACAGAAAACGTGTTGTATCTTTCAATCTTGCAGCATCAGATTTTGCAAATACAGACATTTTTATCTTCAATAGCAGACGATTTCATGTTGTTCCTTATATATCTTTGTAAAAATACAAAGTTTCTTATAAGACGATATTTACCCTCAAGGGTAGGATCTTTAATAGCTGACCATTTCGTGTTGATATATTAAATGTAGCGCCTCGCCCGCAAACGCTCAAATCGTTTTTTATACAGGGTGTTTTAGGTTTTTGTAGCAGGCTTTAACAGTCGATAGATCTTTTAACTAATTAACTAATTTTGGTGTTAATTAACTAATTAACACAAACTCCATATAAACATAGGTCGACAAAAGCTCTGATTTGGAGATACAGGTGTTCAAATTAAATGTTTAAGTTCATTTTTATTTAATATTACACGTGCATTTCAACCGATTCTTTTCAAATTTGGTATACGGAGGTTGTTTGGCATGAGAAGGACGATTATGAAGTCTGTTTTACTATAGCCGGTAGAGTAACGTATTCTTTACGGATTAAAATAACTTTTCTGACAGTATACTTTTTGGCTTTTTGAATAAAAATTCTTATTCTCTGTACTTTTTAAGCAAAAAGGGTACTCTTATCAAAATGCGCTAAAGTTTATCGTTTTCAAGGTAATCCGCTTTTTATTATTCGATACAGACCAATGTTTTTAGAGGATTGTTAAAAATAGGTATAATAATGTTTTCCAAATTTGAACATAATCGGTTGAAATACACGTGTAATATTAAATAAAAATCAATTAAAAAATTTAACTTAAACACCCTGTATCTTCAAAACAAAGCGTTTGTCGACCAATGTTTATATGAAGCTTTTGTGGTAATTTTAAAAGATCTATCGACTGTTAAAGTCCTGCTACAAAAACCTGAAACACCCTGTATGTCTTGGTAAAGACACAGTTTCTCATAAGCTAGAATCTTCAATAACTGACGATTTCGTGTTGATATGTCAAATCTAGCGCCTCGTCCGCAAGCGACCTCGGCGATTTGAGGCGAAATTGTTCCTTACATATCTTGGTGAAGATACAAAGTCTCTTATAAGACGATATTTACCCTCAAACCGCCAAGGTTGCTTGCGGGCGAGGCGCTAGAATCTTCAATAGTTGACGATTTCGTGTTGATCTGTAAAATGTAGCGCCTCGCCCGCAAGCGATCTCGGCGATTTGAGGCAAAATCGTTCCTTATATACCTTGTAAAGATACAAAGCCTCTTATAAGAAGATTTTACTCAAATCTAACAGCTTGCTTACGGGCGAGGTGCTAGTATCCTAAAAAGTTGACGATTTCGTGTTGATATGTAAAGTATAGCGCCTCGCCCGCAAGCGACCTCGGCGATTTGAGGCGAAATCGTTCCTTATATATCTTTGTAAAGGTAGAACGTCTCTTATAGGACGATATTTACCCTCAAACAGCCGAGGTCGTTTGCGGGCGAGGCGCTAGGATCTTCAATAACTGACGATTTCGTGTTGATATGTCAAATCTAGCGCCTCGCCCGCAAGCGACCTCGACGATTTGAGGCAAAATCGTTCGTTATATAACTTGATAAAGATATAAAGTCTCTTATAAGACGACATTTACCCTCAACCCGCCGAGGTCGCTTGCGGGCGAGGCGCTAGAATCTTCAATAGCTGACGATTTCGTGTTGATCTGTTAAATGTAGCGCCTCGCCCGCAAGCGACCTCGGCGATTTGAAGCGAAATCGTTCCTTATATATCTTGGTAAAGATACAAAGTATCTTATAAGAACATTTATCTGTCCTGTAATGAAATTGAGACTCATCCTGATTAATATAATTAATATTTTTTGTCACTAAAATATCTTTTGACCTATAATTGCATTAATTAATCAAGTAAAGTTAATAAATTCATCTGAAAATCATAAAACTTCCACCCAAAAAAGAGCTATTAGATCTAGTTAGTTTTTTTCTTGTTGAAACAGAAAACGTATTATGTTAAAGATCTTTTTACGAAGTCAACACACGATATTTCCGAAAAGGAAAAAAAGTAAAACACAAGTTAATCTCTTTGTCACAATATAACCGTCCACCGAAAAGAAGCCGGCGACTTTTAAAACTGTTCCTGACACGCGAATGGAACTCCTACGGAATAACTATCTCGTTCGTTTTTCCTCTTTTTCTTACCCGTTGTATTCTCTTGTGTTGTTCCGGGGAGGGCTACCTGTGCGCACGTTGACAGATAACATAACAACAGGTAACACAATCCGCGCGACACGTTCCAGTTTAACCACAAACGATTTTTTTTAAATGTTTTAAGTCATTTTTGAGTCAATAAAAATTAGGGGTTTTGCGTTAAAATCACGATTAACATAAGTAAATCAAAATTGAATGCATTAGAACCTTGTTTTATGTTTCAATCAAAACGTTCGGTTGCTAATAGCTCAATTTAGGTCGGTTTTAGTCGTTTTATTACCGTTTCTTTTTTGGTTTCGTTTTCGAAAGCGAACGGGTTGGGTTCGTTCTGTTTGCGTACAAAGAGTAGAAAATAAACGAGCCGTCGACGTGAATTCACGTTTTAGGTGAGACGACCGACCGAAAATAAAACGTCGCGGCAGATCTGTTAATTTGAAATTAGCATCGAGCGAGATCAAAAGAAACGACGATGGTCCAAGAATCTAAAATTAATGTCGCGCACGGTCTCTACAACTTTGTTTAAATTAATTTCACCAGGATCATCATCAGCATCTTCAAACTCCGAGAATAGATTTTTAAGACACAATTAACGTTTTCAGCGAATTAATTTTTTTTAATACGTTGTTTGAGGTCTTCTTTGTTTGGTCTTATGTTAGTGTCATTTTATGTGTTCTTTTTGTACGTGTTGGAGGTTGTTGTTGTTTGGTCGAGGAGGGGGAGAAGAGAGTGTATAAGAAGGAGATAGAGATAGTTTTTATTTTGGGATTTATTAATAAGTCTCGTGGTCTTGTCTATCGGACGTGTGGCACACATGTCTACCCCGCAGGAGATTGCATTCTATGCGGCGTCCCGTGAGTTCTTAATTAATAGCCGTGTGGGTTTCGTACGGTTTTAGGCGATTTATCACCACCGACGGTCGTCTATTAAAAGAGTATATAAACGCGTTTCTTCTCTTACAATTTCGAGGTTAACAAATAAGTCTAAGCGAATCTTATTATTCTATTCCACCTTTTTGTACAGATAAAATAATTGCACAACTAAAAACAAATATTAAAACGTTATGCTTTTGGATTAGATAATGAAAGTATGCAAACGAATAACTTAACACAAGATAATGGAATGAAATCGTATTACAATTTTTACTTTTAAAAATACATCATTTATAATTATTTCTTGATGATTCTTTAATACCTAATTTATATCTATTCGAGGAATCCTTAATGTATTTTATAAGAGGTCCATGGAGAAATGACCTTAAAAAGTAACCAAAATTATTATGACAGAATAGACATTTTTATCCTTAACACCACACGATTTCGTGTTGATATGCCAAATGTAGCGCCTCGCACGCAAGCAACCTCGGCAATTTGTAGCGAGATCATTCCTTATATATTGTAACCCATATGCTTTATATATTTTAGTAAAAATACAAAGTTTCTTATAAAAAGACTTTTACCCTCAAATCGCCAAGGTCACTTGAAAGCGAGGCGATAGAACCATCCACAGCTAAAGATGTCGTGTTGATATGTCAAATCTAGCGCCAAAATTTTTCCTTATATATCTTGGTAAAGATACAAAGTCTCTTATAAGAAGATATTTCCATCCAATCGCCGAGGTTGCTAGTATCGACCATATTTGACGATATATACATAACAAGTGCATAAAAATCTTCTCCATATGTGCATCTTGAAGTGATCCAAATCAATCTACAGTTAATTAGATAGTAAATAATGTATCACTTGCAGCCTATAAGTATTTTGCCAGTTCTTCTGAAAATTATGGCAATCATTTAAATTATTTCCAAAAATACAATCAAGATTTTAAATTAATTATCGTTGTATAACTGGATTGTTACATTTACAGCAAAACGTTGCATTAAATTTTGCCAAGCTTAGACATGCTGGAGATTCCCAGATTTATCTATCCTATAATGAAACTGAGGTTCACCCTGATTAATAGAATTAATATCTTTTGTAACTAGAATATCTCGCAACTGCCATGTTTTGGATCCATATGTAAGGATTGATATTTATATGGTTCTATTGATTCTTATTTTTGTTTTGTTTCTTACTTTCTTTTGATCTACAATTTTGTTATTAATTTGCTTTTGTATTCTTATTTGTATCTCTTTGCCCATCGTTCCATTACATTCGATCCATGAGAGATATTCTGACAGACAGTAAAGAACAAACAACTGAGTACGAATACCTAATTCGAATGCAGAAGAGATAATCCCCAGAAAAATGATGGAGATAAGAATAATGTAGAACGGAAAAGGGCCATGCCAAAGATAAAATGGGAAGATGATTTAGAAGAGATAATGCACAACCGATGAAAAAATATATAAGAAGTACGGAACAGAACTATGGTATGATGGCACTTAAGAGAAATGATAAATAAGAAGATTACAGTTTTACTTTAAGTTTTTCTAAAACAAAGTAATTTGACAATCATTTGCAAGGTAAAAGGATATACTGCACAACGAGATTTGTAATAGTCTCTGAAACAATGTTATTTCATTTCTGCTCATGAGCAATTATTATGATAATTTAACATGGTGCCATAAAAATCGTTCCTAATATCTTCCAGCTTCGGCTAACTTTTGTACCATTCCTTTTCTTGATGTTTTTTTGTTTCAGCTATTTATTTCTATTGTTATTCTTTAATGGTTTTCTACAA